CAGACTTCTGATTTACACAACTTATGCAATTGTGATTACCTTAACAACATGGTGCTCAGTGCCACCAAAGCTGGAATGAACTAAGTAAGTAACTGTGATGCATTGCATAAAGAGTTGAATTGTAGACCCTGCAACTTGAATGAGTCTGGTTCTGGGAGAGTTGGCTGATCAGGGAGACAATTTTTAGAGGCTTTTGCAGGTCTTTAGACACAGCAACAACAACATGGCTGTGTGAAACCTCTTGTCAGCAGAAGAAAACTTGTAATGAATTACAGTGAAGACAGAACTGGCCATGTGCAGCTACAGAACCCACCTCTCCCAATTAATCTTTTGTGAAGCAGAAGAGACCACATCCCTGTTAAAAAAAGCAACCCTATCATTCTTACAAAAGTGCACTAGACTCATGTTTGTAAAGAGCCTGCATAAGATCAGACAAGCACTGGCAGATGCCTCTGAGGATGTCAGAATGCTCCTGCAGCTCTACCACGAGGGTTTCCAGTTTCCAGGGGATTGAGGCACTTGCAGCAACTTAAAGAGGTACTGAACAGACAAATGGTAGGTGAAGCATGCCAGATCATATCCTTTGTGAGAATGGTATCAGGATAAGAGAGAAAGCGCAAGTTTAAAAGTACAGCAGCTCCTTACTTCAGACTTCAGATTGCCTCAGTTATAAGATGGAGATGAGACAAAGGCAGGGATGATGAGGTTGGCAGAAAAGAGATTGGCAAGGCATCTCCATACTGTGGTTAGGGGCAAGTGTGGAAGGAAGACTTCAATCTTTGTTTCTTACGTTCACCTGCTTTGTTTCAAAGGCATCCAAAGTAACATACTTTGTCGTTCAATTCTGTGTTAGCCTTCTTCACACCAATCCTGTGAGATAGGTGAGACTCAACTAAAGTGTCTCGAATTCCTCACAATGCTTTATAGCTCCAGGGGGGGGGTCTGTTCAATATTTCAACCAGTATGTCATGTTTTCCTGTCCTTCCCTGACTGATAAATGGAAAGTGCTAATGGACATCTAGTACTAAAGTGATTCATCCTGCTTTCCTGTCTGGCATATGTCAAGTCATAAAACGTAGCCATTGTTTTAGGCCTGTTCTTAATCTAATTTCTGCTGTTTCAAGGTTTTTTCTGGGGGGAAAGGAGGATGAATCAACCCAGTGGGAACATCATCTAGAAATGGTCAAAAACAAAACTGCTGCTAGACTTTCTTTCTAGGCTATAGCAAATTCTGTATGGAATCTAACACCAGCATTTGGAGACCATTTAAGAAGGCATGGTTGATTTAAGAAGCCTTGATTGCACAGCTCAGTCCAGGATTTTAAAACGTTTATTCCCTAAGCTGATTATCATGTTGGGATGCTAGATAATAATCATGGATCATGAGATGAAGAGCAGAATTCTGTCTATGCTGACTAAAAAGTGAGCTCCACTGACTGACTGCCAGGAAAATGGATGCAGGACTGCAAATGGAAACTTACTTTTAGGGGAGGGGGGTCTGCAAGATACCTTAGATCCAATTCATTGGGAGGAATAGGATTGCAGACTAGGCTGTTCTGAAGGGACTGTAGAGCAAACTCATCCCACACTGGTACCTGAGAAAGTGGATGGAGGAGTAGAAGCAGGAATATTCCTGGAGCATAGGTTAAAAAAAAGCCAAGAGGGTGAACAAAGTCTGAACAAAGTTGATAAGTATTAAAAAAGAGGTCAAGATTTCGATGGCACACTTTTTAAAATCTTTGCTCACCCCCTCCAGTAAAGATATGCAAGGTGGAGGAGAAAGTTATACACAGAATTGGTATGTTTCAGAAATGTATATGTGTGTGTGTGTGTGTGTGTGTGTGTGTGTGTGTGTGTGTGTGTGTGTGTATGTATGTATGTATAAAATTTGTTTGCTGCTCATGTCTTATCCAAGGCCTCTGGGAGGCTTACAATATATTTTCCAAGGTGGAGCCTTTCCGATATCTTTATGAATAGCGAGACAACGCTAGAGCAGTATTTTAAACCCACATATTCTAGACTTCAGAATCTCAGAGAAAGAAATGAGGGGAGAAAGAGTAGCCGCCAACGGTGGAGATGCCGCACATGGGTGATGGTGGGTGAGAAGAAGGAACAGACGGTGGCAGCTGATAGGAAGGCCCGGCCTTCGCCCAGAGAGATCGAGTAGCGTCGGTAGAAGGGAAAGCGCAAGTCTTGTGTGCGAGTCCAGACGACGTGGCGCTGCTTTCAAGAAAATGAAGGCGAGGCGCCGACGGAAGAGGCGGAGGCGGTGAAAAGAGGCGTGGCAAAGTGGGGTTGCCGGCTCCTTGTCCAGGCCTATCCTAGGCGCCACTGGTTTTTAATTTCCCTCTTCCCCGCCATGTTCACGAAACATAGCCATTTCCTCCATTCATTTCTCCTTTCACCTTGTCCCCTAGTAGTAAAATTAGCCTTTTTGTCTTTGGGAAACGGTCCTGTTGTTTGAAGTTGCTTCGGAGTCAGTTACATTGCGTTGTCTCTCACTCCTTCGATTAAAGTCGGTCAGTAGAAAAGGTATCGCACAAAACTTCACCTTTGGTTTCACAGTCCCGCCTTTTCTCTATAGGGGCGAAGAAACGAGACCACCTGAGGGGGCCGATGCCACAGAAGGGTGTCTGACTGACCTGGCTGTGGATACTGCAAGATGGGGCCATTTTTGTTTGTGAATTATTCATGAGTTAGGGCCCAGGTAGAGAAGGGAAGGGTAAAAATAAAGGGTCCTCTTTCTTTTTAATTGAGTGACAGCCCTGCAGTTTTCTCTATCTTGCCATTGCCTACTTCCTCGAGTTGAGAGAAAGTGTCTGGATCAAGGTCACCTAACTGGCTGTGGGCCTAAAGCTGGACTAGAACTCACCGTCTCCTAGTTTCTTGCCAGGTGTCCTAACACTACACCAAAGTAACTCTTGTATTGTATTGGGTGGGGTGGAATTGGGGAACTTGCTAACCTGGTGAGTCAAAAGGACTCCCCCCTACCTCCACCCCACCCCCACCAGCCAGGCAAAAAGGTCTGACTAGATTTCATTCCTGAAGATGGACTAGTTCTAAAGATGCTGGCTTGAGTTTTTGCACCACATATAAACAGATTGAAAATAATTGTTAACAAAAAGTAGTATTTTTATTTCTTGCCCCACCACAACTCCAGTTGAAATAACCAATTTGATTCATGGAAAGAGGTCAGACAAAAATCACTGGCCATTTTAGGGGCTTCCAAGGCCACAAAGTTTGATACCCACAGCACCAAAGCTGGGAATCACTGTAGGTTCTTACGTGGCACTAGGCAAAAAAAAAAAAAAAAGCTAATTCGGCAGGGTTCGCACGACACAAGGACCCGCTGAAAGGAGGTTGGGCTGAACTGTGGGAACGGAGCCAAAGGCTTTGTTGAGATGTGACCCCCTTCTGCTGTCAGCTCACAAAGTAAACTAAAAATAAATAATTGCGCGGGGGGGGGGCTGGATGAGAAGGCGCGACCGTACAGGAAGACTATCCAGCTTATTTGTCGCGGGGGGTGGGTGGGTGGGTGTTTAGAGCCGAAGAATTATTTTTCCTGGATCCGAGAGAGAACCCCTTTAGGATCTGATGCAAAAAGAACGGAATGCTACTTAGGGACGCTACTTAGGGAAATCGCTGGGCAGAGTTTAGAGACAAAGAGTCAGCAATGCGTTTACGCGGGCTCAGTGACTTACCAAGCCGATCCTGGCTGGCATTGCCTGGGCTTAAAAACTGAACAAGGTGGGACTAAGGACGGTAGAAAATCTCAGGTGTTAGCCCCACTGGGAAGCCACTAGATACCCCGAGAAGAAAGTAATGACACCCGGCCTCCTTAATTATTCGTGAATTCCCCAGGAGCCCCACTCAGCGAAGAAGTCCCCCCCCCTGCCCCCCTCTCCCGAATAAAGTTCTGCCAAACAACGGGCCTTACTGTGGAGGAAGATTTTTTATTATTATTATTTAAAGTACCTTTCTTATTGTCAGCATCTTATTGCTTATTGCTCCGTCCTCACTACTCGACTGGGCGGCCGAATTCCCCCGGAATTTGAACGCGAAAGCTGGGGATTTGTTAGGGTTTCTTCGCGTTTAAACTGAAGACTGTGCTGCGGACCAGTGGTGCTTTGTAGGGTCGCCAGGGCTTGTTAGCTACAGTTTCGGCCATCCTAATTCTGGGAGGCCCAAGGATTTGGTTCGGGAAGGACTTCAGGGCTCAAATGACCAAGTCGCTGTTTCGATTCTCTGAAATATTAATTAATTCTAGTCTATGGAGGGAAATTACTCTTCGATCTTGGGTTTACTGAGTAAACGATACAGTAACGGTGCAATAAATTGCCTCAATTTCAAGGCAGAGGTTTGGGTGGGACTATCTATCGGCTCTTTTGTAGACCGACGGAGTAGAAGGATTGCAGTTTTAACTGGATGGCATATACCGGAAACGCCATTTCCCAAAGCCCATAAACGGGAAGGACGACAATCCCCATCGGCCCCAGCTATCGTTCTCTCTGGGGACGACGGAAGTCGCCTGTTCAGTCCTTTCGGGTCCTCTAATTTAAGAAACACTCTCATAAATTACGAGACCAGGAGACCTGTGACGCCTAGAAGATGGAAACGTTTATTGGCACATCGGTTGCCGAGGATTACGGTTCTACTTCTCAGGGACAGTCCTGAGAGAGGAATACCACAAAGATACGCTCAGTAGTAATTGGGAAGGGAGGGAGGGAGGGAGGGAGGGAGGGAGGGAGAGAGAGAGAGAGAGAGAGAGAGAGAGAGAGAGAGAGAGAGAGAGAGAGAGGATTCATGCTACAAATTTTTTTTTCCTGTTCTTTTGAGAGGTAAAATACAGTCCCTCCCTGGAAAAATAAAAAGGCTGATAGCATTCTTGTGATTCCCTTCTCTGCCAATCCAGCCCTTGGTGTTTAGGGTCCGTCAAAGGAGGAAAACAACCTTGGATTCCCTCCCCCCCCCTTTATTTTTGGCGCGTTTTGTCTCGACAGGACTCGGGGAGGCCTGGGGCCACTCAAGTCGATCCAGCCCTCTGGACAACGTCGGTCGCGAGCTGGGATCCCACCTGCTTCAGGTAGGAATGCAACGGACGGGCGAGCAGCTCTTTCCTGCCAGGCTTCAGGGTGCGTGGGAGCAGGCCTTGAAGGACAGACTGTTTTTTTTTTTAGCAACGAAGGAGCAGTGACTTGAGCTGGAGGCTTTCATAAGCGTAAGACAAGTGGGGTCAGTTCGGCCCGGTAAGGTTTCAGGTGGCCTCATGTAAGTAACTGGGAAGCTATGAAAGTTGCGGTACTTTTCCAACCGTGTTGACTTCAACTCCCACCATTCCCTACCATTGTGGCTTTTCTGAACCATGGTCGTTAAAGCCCAGTCCATCTGGAGAGCATCCGCTGGCAAAACAGCTCCGGCTGGACGGAACTCCTATCGTGTAAATAATGTTTATGCGTTTTATAAAACGTGCTTACTTTCCAACACCATCACGGCCTCAGAAGACACGCAGATGGACTCCAGAAAGCCCCGAGAAATGAAAGATCCATAGACCAAGGGTTAGTTATTCACATGGGGGCATGAAGAACATAGTGCCCTAAGGCAGTGTTTCCCAAACTTGACAATTTTAAGGCATGAGGACTTCAACTCCCAGAATTCCACAGCCAGCAACGCTGGCTGTGGAATTCTGGGAATTGAAGTCCACATGCCTTAAAATTGTCAAGTTTGGGAAACACTGCCCTAAGGCATAGGGTTTTTTTTTTTGTATTGTCTGATTGGGTAACAATCTTAGATGGAAACATGAAGTATAGATTTAATTGTTAAAAGGGGGGGGGTTGGAAAGCCACCTTACTTCCATGAAACTTGTTTACCGTCAGTTTGATGGCGTCAATATATTTTGGACTTTAATCTCAATCATTCCCACGCATGAGGAAGCTGGGGGTAGGGAATGGTGGAAGCTATGGACAATTCAGACAGAACGGGAGCCTGGCTCCTCGGAAGTAAGAGCTACAATTGCCGCCTTGGTGATTAGGATTTGACTTGGCAAGGAAAAGGCGCATCCCTTGTCCTTTAGAATAGAATAGAGCTGGAAGGGACCTTGGAGGTCTTCTAGTCTTTCCTGGGCCTCTTCTTTGGACGTCCTTAGTTGTGGTTTATAGGCCACCCAACCGTCCTTGCAGTGCTCTAAAGCAAATCTCACTGCCATTTTGCGGGTTGCTACATTTTGTCTCGCGCTCGCTCTCCCGGTTCAGTCGCGTCCGATTCTCAGAGACTGTCTGGAAAAGTCCCTGTAGTTTTCTTGGCAAGGTTTTTCAAAAGTGTTTTGTCCTTGCCTCCTTCCTAGGGCTGAGAGAAAGTGACTAGCTCAAGCTTACCCAGCTGGCTTTGTGCCTTAGGCGGGACTAGAACTCACAGTCTCCCGGTTTCTAGACTAATGGTTTAACCACTCCAAAGCCATTCCACATCCAGCCACTGCCGGGGGCAAGACGTGAGGAACGTAGACAGCTTTTATACGTCCACACAGATTGGCCGGCGGGGGGAGGGGGGGCGCTAAGGACTCAAATCGCCAGGCAGGAAATGATCAAAAGTGGAGCCTGCAGTTCCCCACTTCTTGTTAGAGAGCAATGCCGGCAGAACCAGGAGAAAGACTTTATGCGGTCGGAAAAAGTTGATCTTTGCTCCCTTCTTTCTTTCAGACTTTGGACGGTTTCATTTTTGTGGTAGCTCCTGATGGCAAGATCATGTATATCTCGGAGACCGCCTCGGTGCACTTGGGTTTATCGCAGGTACGTTAATGATCCCAGTGGAATCGATCTCAACAGAGGCGACCATTATTATTATTATTTTTGGCAGCATTCAAAATTAGGTTGAACAGCGTTTTGGAGTTCCTCCTTTTTTTCCTTTTAAATGCTCCGTCTTGAACACTTCGTAGTCAAATCAATCTGAAATCCAACGTGCAGACCCCCCCCATTAAAAACAGCCCCCCATTAAAACATAGCCATTCGGTGTTCGAAAGAGATAGAGTGGTTTTTGTTAAATGGACTTGCCTTTAGTTAAATGGACTTGTCTTCCGAAAGTCTTTCCCAGGACAAACTGCGTTTTGTGACTGCCTTGAATCCATCTCATTCCAAATCAAGAACGTGTTTTCACATCCCCTTGACTCCAGTGGGTTGACACTTCAGGTCTTCTTAGAATGATCAGAAGAATACCAAAAGCAATGGGGACAGGTTGCTGTTTGGGAGACCTCTGTGGAATAATGCAGGTGGTGGTCGAAAACTATTAGTTTCCAGTTTTACTCTCTTTCCCTGTGCTGCTCTGACAGTGTGCTCCAATTTGGAAGCTGCCTTGGAGTCAGTGGTAGTTATTCCAGGGAAATATAGAGAATTGAAGCTTCAGGATGAATTCTATTCCGCTCATTGGGATTTATTGGTTTTGATTGAACACCTTTAAACTCCAGCCTCAAGAGTGATGCTGTTCTGGCCACAGTGCCTTCTCAAGATACACTAACTTGGAGCGAACCTAAACTAGAACTCAGCGACCTTCCTGCTCCATCAAATTATCTCCACACAGAAAAACCTGATACGTCTTTTGGCCCTGCCTGCCCTTCTAGGTGAAAGGATACTTTTTTTTTTTAACCATACAAGCAGAGGGATATCAAGATTAGCCATTTAATTTAACGGGCTTACTTACCCTGGGATAAATTTCCACCCAAAAACCTTCAGCTTACAACAGTCTTCTGTAGCCTCTGACCCTTTACAACAGGGATCCTTCTTGCCACCCTCCCTCCAAACAAGTCTGCAGGGCCAGAAGTTGTTGGATGTTGGTTAGTTTGCTCGTTGCCTACCTTGGCAGGCAGAGCAAGCAAAAGCCTAAGGGCCATTCACTGGGTTCGCACGCACCCTGGTTGACAGGAGCTGGATTCGCCCAATACAGTTAAATCCTAACCAGAACACACGACGTGCGAATTCAGTCTTTGGGTGAATGGAACCCGTATTGTGTATTGTGTGGATCGGGGTCTTCCCAGCCAAAGACTCTTCCCCCCCCCGCCCCAGCTTCAGACCCTCGGATGGCTAAAGTGATCCGAACTGGTAGCCCTGCCTCAGTACGCAGCAGCGCTCTTCTCCCCCCGCTCCGCTTCCTTTCTTTCAGGTAGAGCTGACCGGCAACAGCATTTACGAATACATCCACCCGGCCGATCACGACGAGATGACCGCCGTCCTCACCGCTCATCAGCCCTACCATTCCCACTTCGTTCAGGGTAACGCTCTGGGGGGGGGGGGGCGGGAGGCGAGCGGCCGGGGAAGGGAAGGCGGCGGATGGGGGGGGGGCGAGCAGCCTCCTCCCTGACATGCGCACTCTGCTCCTTTGCCTCGCAGAGTACGAGATCGAGCGCTCCTTTTTCCTACGGATGAAATGCGTCTTGGCCAAGCGGAACGCGGGCCTCACCTGTGGAGGCTACAAGGTAGGTAGCGGCGCGAGCGCCAACTGGTGGCCAAGCTGAGAACTGCTGGAGTCCCGGCTGGCTGAAGGTGAAAATGTAAAGGCGCCTTCCAAACTCCATAACGAGGGGGGGGGGTGTCCCTTGGTGCTCTCTGAAGCTTGGCTGTTTTCTTGCAGACGTTTCATTGCCCAAACTAGGCAACGTCGTCAGTGCTAGTATGCTACTAACGCCAAGTATTCCCGCCTTGCCCAATTTGGCGCTCTCCATTCGTGTTGAAACTGCAGATCCCCCGCCCCACTGGAATCTGGCAGCTCTGAAAAACTGCAACCCCAGCCTATCTGGGAAGGGTCAGATGGCAGCGCTTTTCCTTTAATGTCTTGCAGTTGTTGGTCCGGGTAGTGGCTGCCTTCTTGTCTTTCAGATCGGAGGTTCCTCCTCCGAGGCTTCATGCTAATTAAGATAAGAGATGTCGCCCACACTTATTTAGGAGGAAGCGCCATACTGTGAAATTTATAGCTGAGTAAACAGGCGCAGGATTAGTTTGTAAAGCAGCAAGCCTCTGCATACTTGGGAGTAAGCCCCTTGAAATCCACTTAAGCCCCCATGGTTTCACTCAGCTTAAATTCAGGGAAATCTATACATCCCCAGCATACAGAAAACAAGTTTGCCTTCTTCGTTAAGGTTAAAACTCCCAATACGCTGAATGGGTGTAGGCTTGCACACTAAGAATCACTGAAGGGGCATTTCAATTTCAAGGATCCTTATTTGGCAGGGAGATCCTAGAGCAGGGGTAGGCAACCTTGACTCTTTTATGACTCGTGGACTTCAACTCCCAGAATTCCTGAGCCAGCCTTGCTGGCTCAGGAATTCTGGGAGTTGAAGTCCACGAGTCATAAAAGAGCCAAGTTGCCTACCCCTGTCCTAGAGAATTCAAGTTCAGATATTCTCGGTTAATTGTATTGTGTTGGTGGTGAATTCCCCCCCCCCCCGTGCAGCCTGAAAATTAGAATTTTGCTTAAGGCTAAAACCTATGTAGTCATTAATTTTACACTACTTGGTGGGACTTGTGTCTTGAGTAGAGGCACAGGGGGCTGAGGGCTGAGCTTTAAAAGATTACTGAAGAGGTTTTTGTCTAAGCTTCATTGATTGCAGGACATTCATCTCTGAAAGAAAGCCTATGAAATAATTTTTTTTTTTTTTTAAAAAGGGCTTCAACGAGCCTTAGTGTATTTACTTGTTGAATGAAAATAACTGAATTGTCTGCAGAAGTCTGTAGTATTTCTTGGGATTGGTTCTATGCCAATCTTGTTTCAGAAGTTTTTATTTGTGTAGCCAGAATCTCTCCTCTTGCTCCATATTGTCCTTCCAGCCATTAATGTAGCCTGTCTCATAAACCCATGCAGCGTACAGAACTCTTGCATATTGACATGCTTTTATCCATTAATAGGAAAGATCCATCCAGGCAGGTTACATTCACTGTAACTCCTAAGGTTATGTTCACAGTGATTCATGGTATCTTATAGGCCATTCCTTCATTAGAAATTAATAGTAATTTATAGCATACACCATCACTGTGCTGATCTAACAGGAAGGAAAACAGGTTTTATATCACCAGAATAATAGCTGGGTGTTGTTAGAAGAGCTATAAATTGCTACTGAGGAAATGCCCTATAAAATCATTAGTGCCATGAATTTCTATAGCAATGGCTAGATGACACAATTACACTGTGTTTCACTATGTTTCACAAAAAGGGAAATTGTTTAAGGCTGCAACTCTATCTACAAATCCCATAGGATAGTTGAATTTATTTCAAAATCAGTGTGCATAGGGTTGTGTGGTGAAATATCACTAGAGGTAATTGTTTTATTCCATGCTTGAAGGTAAAATAATACTTGTTGAGGGCTCATCGTTAGGATTGCTGGAGCATGGATACATGTTATTTGCTCGTTACTATACAGTTGAAGACTGGCAGTGAATATAATTTAACTTTATTCAGGCTTGCACCAAAAGTGATCCTTTGGAAATTTAAATAAATGTATGAAGAGAGGAGCAATGAGAAGATACAAAATGGACTACAGGATGCTTTCACTGAGAAGCATCAACATGTGGGGAGGGGATATCCTCCATGTTCCTTTTGGAATTCCCCCATTCAGACATGCATGTCATTCTAGTGTGCCTATCATATGGAAAACCTGGTTAACCCTATAATTGGGCTCTGATATACCATACTCTGCATATTTGCCATGGCAGAAGCCTGCAAAAGGGGGGTGGGGGTGGCTTGCTGTTACGTAGATGACTTGAGATGACTTTTTTTGTCTCTTTGCCCTGACAGGTGATTCATTGCAGTGGTTACCTAAAGATCCGCCAGTACAGCTTGGACATGTCCCCTTTTGATGGCTGCTACCAAAATGTTGGATTGGTGGCAGTGGGCCACTCCTTACCCCCCAGTGCTGTGACAGAGATTAAGCTGCACAGCAATATGTTTATGTTTCGGGCCAGCCTGGATATGAAGCTCATCTTCCTTGATTCACGGTAAGTCATCACTTGGACTTCCTTTAGGCCAACAATACCCAAACAAGATAAAGTGGCTGGTTGCCCTTTTCTTTTCTGAATCTATTTGGGCTTCCATCTCACTCTAATAGGGTTGGTTTGCTTTAATTTTGATCTAGTCTGTTGGTAAACCAACCTTACTGAGGCTTATTAACAAACCATGATTTAAAAATCTGGCTTGGCATGATGTGTGAAGCCAATCTCATTCTGTCTTTCTCTTTCTCCCTCTCTCTCTCTTTTTGGTAGGGTAGCTGAGCTGACTGGTTATGAACCTCAGGACTTGATTGAGAAGACACTGTACCACCACGTCCATGGCTGTGACACTTTCCATTTGCGCTGCGCTCACCACCTGCGTAAGGAGCCTCTTCCCTTTGAGCCTTTGAAGCCCTCAGCTGAGCCCTGTTTACTCAGAAGTAAGTCACACTGAGTTCAGAGGGACTTACTCCCAAAGTAAAGTGGGCTGACTGGCTGGGACTTTCCCAAGCAGAAGAGCAATTGAACTCACCTTTGCTAGTAAGGCAGTCTCAGCACATAGTTAAAAAGAGAGGGATAACAAAATCAAGATATATTTTTCAACAGGTTGATGAAAAAAGGAAGGAGAAAGGAGGGGGGAAGGGATAGATACATTGCAAAGGGCAATATCGCTTATGGGTCCAATCAGGCACACTTTGAGGAAGTTAGTAAGTCAAGATGGTTATTATGGCCACATGAGCAAAGCCCCATCCCCTTTATCTGTCTCTTGATGTTGCATGCACATACAAAGAAGTGGGGCTTTAAAATCACCAACTTTTAAAATCCTCTTCTTTAATAGATACTGCTGCTTCCCATATGTTACAAAAGAGTACATCCTTTTGTCATTCTTCCACCCATTGAGTACATGGCAGCAGAGGCTGGAGACACAACTTTATAAAAGAAAAAACACCGGCTTTTAAAGATATTTTATACAAGAAATGAATTCATTGTCTAGGGGAGCATTGTTTGATCTACTACAAATTGTGTTATTGTGATAATAATCACTAAATTCTGTGACCATGAAACATTACCTTTTCCACACAGGATTTCCCTAGTACTGTACTATAGCAGTAGATGCTATGATTTCCACCTGCTTCCATTTTTATCTTTGGCTTTGGTTCACTGTATCTGCAATGAACATTGAGATAATGACTTGTACTGACTTAGAATCATCCAGACATTCTTGAAGTAATATAAAGCCTATCCTCATGTCTATTATTGCAACACAAATAGGTGACTCTAGAACAGATTCTCAATCTTCGTGTGACGGCGACCCCGTCACACGAACGCGCCGCGCATGCGCGGGGTGGCACGCATGCGCAGCGCCGCCCCATGCGCAACACGCATGCGCGGTGCCGCCCCCTGGGGGGAAAAATGGCAGATCGCGTTGTTTCGCGACCCCCGTAAAATGGTCGATCGACCCCAAATGGGGTCGCGACCCATAGGTTGAGAACCGCTGCTCTAGAAGGTTGTTTCACCAGTAGGGAAATAAGAATCACAACAAAAGCAGCAATCAAATTTTTACTTGGGAATTAATCTCAGTGAATTCAATGAGACTCACTTCTAGCAATAGCAATAGCACTTAGACTTATTTATCGCTTCTTAGCATTTTACAGCACTCTCTAAGCTGTAAAATGAGGACCCCAACAATCTGGGTCCTCATTTTACCGACCTCAGAAGGCTGAAAGGCTGAGGCAACCTTGAGCCGGTCAGGATCAAACTCCTGGCAGTTGGCAGAGTTTGCCTGCAATATTGCATTCTAACCACTGCGCCAACATATAAACACTATGTATACAATATGTAAGTATGTATAAATGTAGAATAGATAGGAACCATATGTGGATAGGGGAGACTATGAGTTCTACTCCCGCCTTAGCCATGAAAGTCAGCTGGGTAACTTTGGGCCAATCGCTGTCTCTTGGCCCAAACTACCTCCCGGGGGTGTTGTTGTGAGGAAAATAGGAGGAGAAAGGTATGTTGCATATGCTTGCAGCCTTGAGTTATTTATATCAATCAGTCAATACATATATACATAAATAGTGATAGTAGAAACAAATTATTCTTCTGACTGCTACAAAAAGAATCATCTACATATCTCCTAAATGTGACACAGCAGTGTCTAGTAATCATTTTGATATACCATATATTTGTAACATTACTTTTGTCTACAGCTCATAGCTAAGGCAGCTTAAATTCATATTTAGGTGTTCCAGTTTTGAAGTAGTGTTTTCCACCTTTTTCCATTTTTTTTGCCACGAGCACTATCTAGCACACTTTATAGCCCCCCTCCCCTCTGATCACTGGACACTGTCCTCTGTGGTAATCTTGGTTTAGGTTGGAAGAGAGACCAAATATCTGGCTTCTCCAGAGACTCATGTGATGTCTAACTTTGGCACATTATTAGGCTCTTTGTATACACAAGGATAGTACTTTTTTTTTTGAAAGTGTGCTATACTTTAAATGACAATAGCTTGAGAGTGCTACTTATTGGTGCATTATTTAAATTAGCAAAATGGGGATTGCATGGACATATATTTTATTGTTTTTATGACTGGTGGTGCTGGTGGATCAGTAGCATCATTTTCACTTACTTAGTTGGCAAGTCACAAATGGATCTTGCTTGCTATTAGTACCTTCATCGTCTACCCTCCCTCTACATCTACAACTTATCAGCAGGGTAGTTGTTTTTTTATATTCAAAAGAATGCTGGACTGTGTCCCAAAACAGTCCAATAGGCAGCTTTCAAAATGAGGAATACCTGTAACCTGTTAGTTGGGCAACATGCTATGTGACTTAAATCACCTATTCACCTAACCTTTTCTCCCCCCACATACATGTTAAAGAAAGCAGTTTTTGATTTGTTTATTCCATTGGTAGGTGATGCTTGATGGCAGGAAAATCTACAATTCCAATCCATCTTTAAAAAATGCCAGTTTGAGAAAGTTTAAGCCAGTTTATGCCAGCTTGGAAAAGCTCATGGAAAGAAAGAGAAAGAAAGAAAGAAAAAAAGGAAGGAAGGAAGGAAGGAAGGAAGGAAGGAAGGAAGGAAGGAAGGAAGGACAGACTATATTTCCAAGAGGATTTCTTAGTATTTTTCCCCAAAGAACCTGAAACCCATTAAGGAAATGGAATAATCAGCTCCACTTCTTAGAAAGTTTATTCTCATCAAGCAATAAACATGCATGTTCCCCTGCCCCTGATTTTGCTCTGTTCTATGATGTATTAAGAATAGTGCATAAGATTGATTTGAAAGTGGCCTCTATGGAACAATATCTCAATTCTAAATGAGCAATTACAGTGAGATCCTTTGTTGATCCAGAACTATTCAAATCAAGGGAGGTTTGGGATTTTGGTCATTCTTACTTTCCTACAACTCACTCTGATGACTAAAACCTATTTTATAACTACAGGCACACGAAATAATACCATTGATTTCACCTTAACCTCCTGGTAAATGAGCCTAAGATAGTTTTTCAGGTTAGGATATACTTTTCCAAAGAAAGTTCCTTCACTGCTTTTCATAGTTTGCTGATCCCTTTCTTGAGTTCTGTATCTTCTGTCTTCTGCCATAAGTGGAAAAACAGCAGGTAAAACCTCTTCTAATGTTTCAACTCCAAATGTGGGAGAAGTGATCACATTAAAGCTAAGACACCATCTAGAATTAATAAGTTTAAAGTCTTAAGGCACTTTTTTGCTTTATGCATATGCGATACCTTTAATTTTTGAAGTCCTTCAAAAATTAAAGGTATCGCATATGCATAAAGCAAATAATGCATGGACCTCAACCATCTTTTAAGTATACAAGATTCAGAATGTCTTGTAAAATGCTCAAATTTTAGTCTTTTCAAATCTCATGCAAAGCCAGGTTCATTTCAGTGCTTCATTTTATAAGTAAAATTGAGAGAAAAGAGAATCCATGTTTATATTACACATTAAATGCCCTGTAAAATAGAGAATTAGGCTGCCCATTTACTGAAGAGAATTGATCATCTATTTATAGAAATATTGTGTTGATGTTCCACTCTAAAGAAAGTCAAGCACTGTACAGGACCATTTAGTATGTAGACACTAGAAAATCTGAAGTCATTGATTAACAAAAAGTATTGTTACCTGCTGCTTCTATAACGGTCATTAAATAACTGCATTCTGAAACATCATTTTGTAATTGATGAATAATTATCTGGAAAGAGGTCAGGTGCTGCAATTTTATAGCCAATTTTAGATAACTAAATCCCTCCAATCTTCAGGGATTTGCTTCTAATACATAGATACATAGACTTCTGATACATACTTCTGATACATAGATTTCTACTATAGGTAGTCTTCTACATACTAGTTTCTTCAATTTGGAGCCCTCCAGATGTGTTGGATTGCAACTCCCAGTAAATTGGTAAGCACAATGTTGAGGAGGGGTAGGTTCTCTGTAAATATGAGATTGAGTCTCATTGAATTCACTGCAGCTTACCTCTTAGCAGTCATGTGTAGAATCACATTGTTAATAAACATTTATGTGCTTTTGGTTCCTATGCTCTTCATGGAACAAATTGACTTCCTAGAATCCCTATGATAGCAATGGTAAAGGGCATGGCTATGTATCAAACAGGCAATAGGTTGTGGGGATAAGAAGTATTTCTTCTTGAAAAATAAATTAGTTTATGTGCTCTATGGAATGCATCAATGGTCTTTCCATAATGTTTTTATCTTCATGAAGCCAGTTATTGACTGGTTGGGTAGAAGGTTGTGAAACGATTGGTAAAAACAAAAGTTGGTTTGAACTGGAGGTTTCCAAGCTTTCCTGAATATTAATAAAATGTCAATGAAGCATTGATGAAGTGGAGCCTTTATAATGCAGTGTAGAAGGTCAGGACTAGGACTGTGTAGATTCAGATACAAGACCACCTTAAGTCAGGAAGCTCATTGGGAGATTTGGTCAGTTTGTAGAAAGAAATACAATGTCTGTTCCTCAAGCTCCTGGATGAAAAACAAGATATAAATCATCATGAGTATCATGGTCTATATGCTGGTCTTCTGTCCTGAGAGAACAGACTCTGCAATATCCCTTCCTTAATTAAATCTGCTACTGTTTTCTTTTTCAGTGCTAGTGAAAGGGCAAGTCACCACTAAATATTATCGTTTCCTGGCCAAACAAGGTGGCTGGGTTTGGGTGCAGAGCTACGCCACCATCGTTCACAACAGCCGGTCTTCCCGGCCCCATTGCATCGTCAGCGTCAACTATGTGCTCACGTAAGTCCGTGTCCTGGAAGCTCTATGGTACTTTTCAGAAGATGGCACCTGAGTGCTCGCAGAATACCTGGAGTCCCATTTTGAGAATTCATTAAGTGCAAGAGGGGCCGTTGCTTCAGAGCTGGATTGCATAAAAAATAAAATAAAAATGAACTACTTTTCTTTTGCCTGTTATGGGAACACTTTAAGTGGGGCCGTAAAAAGGGCCAATATTTCAATCCTCCCCTCCCACCCAAATCCACTTTGGCTGAAGTTTTTAGTTCACGGGTACCGCCCTTTCTATGAGTTTGGCCAGGATATCTGGAGTTCTTTCATCTGCCTGAAAGCTTTCCTTTCCTGTCTTCTTCTGTTCTCCTAGAGGGAAATGAGCAAGATTTAGGGCTTTGTCACCCCTAATGTTTGCTCACTTTCTGCCGCCTTATAGCTGAAGGGGCACCCTGCATTAAATAAAATCTAATGCAGCGTAAAAGAAAGGTTTCAACGTACGGAGTTATTTATACTTAACAAACAGGACATCTGTTTTTCTTTTTCCCTGAAACAGGGGGGGGTCAGAACCTGAGAGTTTGAAGTTCTTAATTTTATCCAGAGTATCTATCAAAGCTTTGTGATTTCTTTCTTGTTCAAAGGGATGAAGCATTATATGGAGAGGGGAAAGGGGTAGGGAAAGGGTTGGAGTGACTAGAAGGGGTTTGGTTAGCAAAACAATAGCCTATAAGAGAAAAATATACCATAAGCAGGGCAAGGAAAGAGGATTAAAAATGTTGAAAATGTCCCATATCCTATCATAATTAATACTTAGGCAGTTGCTAGGAGTAAATGTCTGCCCAATTGCACTTAGAAAAAGAATGTGAAGTTACATGCAAAGCTCTGTCTTTCATTCTTCCTCTCAAAAGTTTGTCTGATATAGCTATCGTTGCTTTTTTGTTCCCTGGATCCAGGTTGCTAAAGAACAATGGACACACAAGAGTCCCCTTTTCCTTTCTAAAATCTGTTTGAAAGCATGATGGTTAGTGTATAAAGACAGAGAGCCAGACAATAGAGTAGGAACATTCAGTAATATGTGAACCATGGCAGTTATGATACCATGGAAGATATCCATTGGCTCCCCAATTTAAAAAATCCACCTTATATATTGAAAAAAAAACATAAATCTCGTAGCTCTCCATGTTCTTGCATAAGATTTCAAGATGAAATGGATATTTTGTACTCTTTTAATTAAAAGAGTATTTTTTTAAAAAAAAAGAATAAAAGGTATTTCCTTTTAATGTTTTCTTTTTAATGTTTTGATGCCTGGACACTGTGAGAAAGTGTAGTATTTCAGGGCCTGGAAAAGATACTGACTGGGCTATAAGATCGCACTAAAACTCAGCTGACCTTGGTTTATCCCCAAACAATATGGCAGGCTTATAACAGATTAGTATTTAATGTAGATGGGAAACCCTAAGTTGTTAGGCAACTACCGTACTCTAAGATTTTATGCTAATCTGGAAAGATAAAGATTTATTAAAGAAGACATCTGTGGTTATTGCTGCTAAGAAAGCTACATGGTTATCTTCATGAAGTCATCAAGAATCAATCCCAACTCAAGGAAATCTCTACCTTTATAGCTGCTGACAGAAGCATATTTTACCATCTCTAGATTGATTAAGTAGAACAACCCTATCACATAAATACAAGATATATTGTTACAGAAAGTCATTGTATTGTTTAGTTTATTTCTATATAGGGATATTCTGCCAATGCATCTTGGAAGTGGGCATACAGTATGTGCTTTTTGTCCATTGGTGCTTTTGTACTCTATTTGTTTGAATCAAAATTTCAAATACTGATAATTATATATTCAAAATCTCTCTTTCTCTCACCCTTTGTGTTAGTCCTTTAGTTACTATAATTGTTTATTTATTTGCTGTGACTTATATGTTGCCCCACTCTAGAGACTGAATGGCTTACAGCAACCAATAGAGGTAGGATTAAAAACAGCAAAACCATCAAGGAGTAACTGAGACAATTCACCCAATCATGCTTATCCTTTGTATGATCTTCCCAAATGCCTTCTGGAAGATCCACATTTCTTATGGCTAATAAAAAGTTGTACAAGAAGGGGCAGTTCAAATATCTGGGAGAAAACTATTCCCAGGCTAGGCATTTTACTGAGAAAGCGTGACAGGATCATGGTTCCTGTCTGTTCAAGATAGCCAGCAACTGGTGGGGGACAAAACGAAGCACCTGAAACTGGGTGGAATTAGAAAGGAAAGTTTGAGAGGTGGGGGGGACATACAAATGTAATAAATAAAATAGATAAAAGTTTGTCGATTTCCTTCATTCTCCTATCTTTTCTGACTTAGCCAGATCATTAATGCAGAGATTGGACAAATATGCTCTAATGTTTTGTGCAAATCTTTCCCTACCTTGTTTCTTTGGTTAATTTAATTACCAGCTTAATAATCCCAAAGGTGTTTTTTTTTTCAAACGGCAACTGAATTTTCTTGTATTTTTTTTCTTGAAGATGGTTCGCTTCTCATCCAAGAAGCCTCTGACTTCAGAAGTCAGGACTGAAGAAACTTCTTGCATGAGAAGCAAACTATCTTCAAGAAAAAAAACAACAATGAGAAAATCCAATTGCCTTTTGAAAAAAAGCACTTCTGAGACAACCATGACCTGGATGACTGACAATCTCCATAGACAACCGGCTTAATAGTGTTGTTAAAGAGAGCTATAATGTTTGCTAATCTTCCAGTTGGCTGTCTTGATTCATCTTTCACATGCAGTGGAGTAAAGAACAGAACAGTATCAACAAAACTCTGCTGTTTTTTTGCTTGTTTGTACCTTATGATAGCATCAGCTTCCTAGCTTGGTGCTTTTAACTGAAAATACGGAGAATTGAGAATTTCAGTAGTCTGAAGTGCAGGCAGCTATTACAGAATATTGATTTCTTAGGGCAGAGATATACAATGTAAGAGGTAGTTTTTTTTAAAAAAAAAAAAATATTTATCAGCCGCCGAAAGGCCCAGAGAGCAAGGAATATAGAATCTGGAAACTGTTTATTTATTTATTTATATTTATATAGCTTCTGGGTATTGTACAGTTAAAAATGATAAAATAGTTTAAAAATTAGGGAAAAAAGAATAACATTGAACGTAACAGAGTATATGCCAGCGGGCATGACATCAATCTATCCCAGAGCCAGTTTTTTAAAGATTGTTTAAAAATGTGTAAAATCAGGTTAATTTGAACCTCTGGGGATATTACTCCAAGGGGTAGGCAATGTGACAGTTTGTTCTGTTTGGCCAGGAAAAGCTCTTGGGAGATTAAAGCATTTCTTTTCTTCAACTTTCTGCTGACAGTCAGCACAAAACCTCATTATTCTCATTCAATTTGCCATCAGTTTGGAATGGCATAATTTTGTGGGACCCTCGAATCCTGAAAGAGAAATTTAGAGATATATGTAGCTCAATTCAGATTGAACTTGCATTTATCCTGCCTCTCTTTTATAACTTTAATAGGCATTTTTGGACATTGTGTAACTAATTGTGAGTCCAATAACATTGCCACTTCCTCAGTCAGATCTTCCAACTAACTAACTAACTGACATTTGGATTTTTCAAGATTTTAAATGAGTTCCTCCTACCATTGTCACTCCCCAAATCCTTTCAATTGCTAACCCAGGTAAACAATTCAGTTGAGGTGCTCTGTTGATGTCATTCTCTAACATGGGCTGCATGCTGGCTTAGCCTGGGGGTTGTTTACTGAGAGAGACATTCATGAAATTATTTATATAACACAAAAAGTACATCATAATATATTTCATATTAAGAAACTTATTCCATTTTCCCAGCACTGTAGAGCATATTCCCAATAAACATATATAGAATTACAGTCTTAGAAATCATTGATGCAATAGATTGGTTTTCCCTCTTTGTTATAAGTATATACACTTTCATCTTATTTACTGGTCTTTGAGGAATAATTCTGTCTAACGTGTGATTAAAGCATTGTATGTGTGTATAGATATAGATATATAGATATATAGATACATAGATATATAGATAAATAGATATAGATAGATGAATATGAAAATATATTTATCCTCATTGATACCTGCATCCATTAATAGACTGAGCAAGTAATTACAGATTGTAAAAACACTGAATAATGATGGTTAATGAATACTGCCCAGATAATTAATTTTCTTTTGCTTTTTTGCACTTTGATGTTTTGATATTGAATACTGTATTTTGTAGTATTGAGGACTTGTCCTGTCCCACATATTGGCTGTTATCCATACATAGGCCCAAGAGGCAGTTATTAACCTTTAGTTCAGGAAAACATATATTTGTGAACATTGTTTGATGAAGTTCCAATATTTGCCCTAGTATTTAATCACAGTTTTTTTTCTACTCAAAAATGTTTCCGATGATTTTTTTCTCCATAGCAATTCCTCCATTTTATCTCTATAGCCTCTTCTCTTCATCTATATAAGCCCTTTTCCAGTTCTGTATAACTATGAAAAAATGCTAAAAACTGGCTTTTAACCAATTAAATAAAAATGTGTATACACACAAACACACATATAATGCTAGAAGGTTCAGTATTAATACATATAAACACATGGAAGTAAATTGTTAATGGATTAAAGTCTCATAATACTATAGATTAAAGTTCCAATTGTTCTCTTCAAATTGCTGGTACAGAAACAGTTTATATGATCCACAATACTTTTATTTCATAGAGAAGAGATCAAAACAATTGAGACTATCAATGGCTTATTGTTGAGGACCAACTTTGAACTGCTTACAAATGCATCAAAATATGGGCTATTAAATTAATATATATTTATTTATATACAGACACAAGGCTAACACTTTCAATATGTTGTGTCTGTCTTATACACTGAAGGCATATCTTCCTGAAACAATCTTTAAACGATTACTATTAAGCAATATTTACAATCAGCCTTTCTAAATGAGTTCCTGGGACTACAGATTCTACCCTCGCATAGA